TATATATATATATATATATATATATAATATATATATATATATATATATACATACATAGACACATGAATGTATGTATGCATATATATGTATATATATACATACTACATAATATATATATTATATATATGTATTATATATATAGACACACACGCGCGCGCACACAACACCACCACACACACACCAAACACACACAACACAACACACACCTATATATATATATATATATATATATATATATATATATATATATATATATATATGTGTGGTGTGTGTGTGTGTGTGTGTGTGTGTGTGTGTGCGTGTGTGTGTGTGTGTATTTACACAAAACACACACGCATGTAATATATATATATATATATATATATTTATATATTATATATATATATATATACATATATATATACACATATATATTATACATATATAACACACATATGTATATGTATATACTATAATATTTCTATATTCATATGTGTGTATATATATATATATACACACATACATATATATAACATATATATATATTATATATATATATATATATATATATTATATATATATTGTCAATGTAAGATATCGAGGGTGGACCCTGCAAGAGACCCCGTGCCATTGGTGCTGAGCGCAGCGGTGACGAGCGAAGCCGTCATCTGTCCCTCCAGTCGATGCGTGCCAGGCTAGTAAAAGGGCTAAGGGGAGGATGGTAACTTACTTGTCAGTTAGCTTAATAAGATGCTGGAAATGAGACCTAGTAATAACAATGTACATGAGAAGTAATTTGTCATATGAGGAGGTGTTAAATACTAAGATTTTTAGGATTTGTGAGTTCAGTAGAGTACCATCATATTGTAGAGAGAGAGAGAAAAAAAAATAGTGAGCAAGAATTCCATATCCTCTGGCTAAAAAGGCAAGTAACCAAGCTTCGGACACGTAGAGGCAGCTTGACCTTATCATAAAGTAAACATGTGTATCTCGGGAACTGTATGAACGTAATTGCGAGTAAACAAACGTGAGGTGGGTGTGATTCCTTCGTACTGGACTTAGCGTGCGGCTGAGCGCGATTTCTTCACAGTAGACTTTCCATTTGGCGGGCGCGATTTCTTCGCCGTAGGTTCAGTGTGTGGCAGGCGTGATTTCTTTGTTGTAGATTCAGCGTGCGGCTGAGAGTGATTTCTTCGTAGTAGACATTTCATACAAAGGGGCGTGATACCGGTTTTTACAGCCATTAGTCGGCTTAAAATCTAATTGCAATGATAATAACTGCAAGCCTATATAAAGCATGGTGTCTGCAGCGCATTATCCTTATTGCAACAGAATTTGACTCCATCAAATGTTACATGTTACCTTAAAACTAAAGAAGTATCAATTCCAGCATTACTGAGT